AGATTCGCTTAACCTTCACTCCAATAGAATGGGGAAACAAGCAGAAGCATATTTTGTCTGCCATCCCTCAGGGCAAATCCGTGTTCATCACAGGCTCTACTGGGACTGGTAAAACCCTATTGCTTGAGGAAATAAATTACTGAAAAAATTACCAATATGTGGTTTTGTCATACAAAAAGATCCAATTTGTTTGGACTCGTTAGGTTTGGCCCATTACCTTGAGTGAGGCCGAACGTGTACACCTTTTGTTATGAAGATGTGATCTTATCCACCGATGGGTCTTGTTTTAAGCCCAACCCTCTCGTCTTAGGGTAGGATATCCAGAAACCTTAAATCACGGGAACTTCCCCTTTTTGGTAGACAACCTATGTTGGGCTGACTAAGCCCACTATCCTACCTAATAGGGTCCCATCTTGTGTCGGGTTAAGGGAGCTTAGTGGAACCCTATTTCTTCACTTGTAGTCTAGGGCTTTGCTTGGCATTGGGCTTCAATATAGCTTGCTTTCCTGGTTTTGGATTAAACCTCTGCTCTCCTAATTTAGTCTATAGGCTTAGAATTTAGCCCAGAAAGAAACCTTTCTTATGGGTACTTCTAGTGGTTTGCCGGAGAAGCTCTTGTATTTCTTTAAGGAGTTGGTTAGTGGGATAGACAACTCTTAACTCTAAATCGAATATTCAAGAGACTAAAAAGATCGGGAATGCACATCTAAAAGGAGAGGAACTTAACTCGCAAAAAAGAAAAACAGAAACGATAGACAGAAAGAGAAGGAATAGCGGGCAAAGCGATTCCAATGCTTAACGAATGGACCAATCCAAGACTTGGAATGCTACCAGAATCGACAACAACTCTTACCTTACTAGCACGATACCGAAATGGCCCTTAGCCGACTAAAGGCTACAAGACTGCTTCTACACCTACTACCCTCACTCTCAGATAAAGACAGAACGAACAAGAACTACTTTTACATCCTCAAGCTAGAAAGAGGATAGGCTATTGGGGCTTTCTGCGAATTCTGTGGAAGGTAACAAGACTGTAGAATATTCGAGGGACCACAAAAAGGGGAAGTAAACTATTGCCTCTAAAAGGGCCCGGATACCGCCTAAACCAGTGCAAGGTTGTGTTCCCAAGGAAGCTAGCATAGCAATAGGGAATCCATCTAGTATTGACTAAGGAAAGATGGTGCTGGGGGGTCCCACTAAGGTGAATGTTATTGAACCTTCTCATGCAAAAAAGCCATGCAAAGAATTCCTTCTACGTCCATTGCTACTGTAAGACCACCAACAAGGGGAAATGAGCAACATGTGGGGCCTACACACTTGGAACAGCCTCGCCAAGAGTCTGCACAGGCCCAGGAGTTAGGTTTTTTTATGGAGCTTTTAAAACACCAGTTGCAGTAGGAAGAGACCCCCCTGACCCAGGGGAAAACATCTGTCCTTATCGCTTTATAGTGCCACAAGAAGTGACAGAGGTAGAGGGAGAGGTCAATTCTCACTAAACGTTCCTCTAGTAAGGCACCATCACCAGCGCACATGAGAAAAGGCCAAGGAGAAGGTGAGAGGAAGGTTCAAACACCAGGCTACACAGCCTTAAACTCAAGCAATGATTTATTGTAGCTATTGAGTTTAATACACCGTACTCAAACCTATACCCACTCTCATACCCTATGGTAAGTGAAAGGAAGCAGTACATTCCACTTTTTAGGGAGGAGCTGAAAGATAGACCTTCCTCTTGAAACATGGGGTGAAGTATTAGGGAGTTACACATCCACTGTTGGTCTTATATCTCTACCACCAAGACCAACAGCTGCAGATTCAATAGCATCGGCGAGAGAGAGAATTCCTATTGAGTTAGCTTTCCTAGGGAAGAGGATATTCTATAAAGGCTATACCACGACCACCCCATAAGCTACAGCTTCCCCTGCCGGAGTTGTGCTTGGTGGAATTCACGCCTCAAATCATCACTTTCTCACCGACCTTTACCCATGCTAAACGTGTCCCAGTTTACTAAAGAACCGGTAACGTAAAGCTTCTAATCTCAATTTATCCTTTCTTCCCCTCTGTAGCATGACCCCCTTCCGCTGTCTATGTTTTCAAACATTTCATCGGTGTCGACATTTTCTTCATCTCAGCCAGTGTAGGCTTGCTTCGCACACAAAGGCTACATCTGGGCCTTTCATTGATTTGACTTTTCCATTCATTTTTGAAGACCTTCCTTCGCTCCGGGCACGCTGTTTAGATCTATTTCGGCTGCCAATAAAATGGAATATGGGGAACTCTCCGTCTAAGTGGTTAATCCGACGAGTCAATTCTCAATGTTATGCTGCTATCCGTTCGACGATCCTACTTCTGATGTCACCCCCGCCTCTCCCTCCCAGTGGAATATCCCAACTATTCTCTATCCAATTCCAGAAGAATGGATCATGAAAGATTTTTTCTTGAGATGCCGGTAAGGAACAGCCAATTATAAAAGCGGGTGGCAAGGAATGAAAGCACTCCTTTGATAGCAAAATCTAGAAATTTTTGAGAGCTAGGGGCAGGCCATCTATTCCTGCTTTACTTTCTTAAAAGAAGCCTTAGATCTCTTTCTCGGTCGAGGTGGGAGTAGGCAGTTCTCTATGAACTGGATGTTGAATTCTAAAAAAGATGAGAGGAAGGCGCTTCTTCGATTAGGTGTCTCGTGGCAGGGGCTATGCACAATCAAAGAGGGGCAGCTACTTTCCTACTTGCTGACTTCACTATGACCTTCCCCACCAAATCTTCCTCCACTCCATATAGGCGGGGGGTATAGGAGAAGCCCCAGAACTACGCTTGAAGCTTCATTCAGATCAATTCCAGTCGCCGCTATGCCACATCAATCCGTTATGGCTCGACCCTCTTCCTTAGCAGCTACGAATTCTCCGAGCAGCCATATTAGGAATTACATCAGTACATTAGTTAGACGAGCAGGAGCGTATGTACCCTGATTCGCACCAAGTTTTCTCTGTCGGGCATGGAGAAAGCTCCAAGGATTGACCCGCTCTACAACCCTAATTCATCGTCATTGGGGCGAAAGAAGAGTGTGATAGAAGCATGTAAGTTTCATCCTAGGGATCAGCCTATCAAACAAAAAAAAGTAAACGCGTATGCGGTCCGCCAGTCTTTGACTTTCTTTGAAGGCTGGTTTTCGAGCGGAATGGTTTTGACCTTGAAAGTCTTTAGGCTTCGACCTGCCAGCCTAGACCTATTCTAATAGATTAGGCCTAGATTCCCCAACTCCTAAATTTTTTTTTTCTTCATAATCGCTATTTTGTTTGATTCAGCAGTAGTAGGAATGGTGTATCCAGCAGACGGTCTTTCATCAATAAGCGATGTGCTAGTCTTTGTTGGTGAATGCCTATCTGGCTGGTGTTCAAGTCTCCGGTCCTTGTCCTTCTATTAGTGGTGGTATCCTAAGATTCCGGTTTAGAAATGATCTCTTTCTGTAACTATCAATTTTATAAGAGAAGAAAGATCGTAGCGTAGATTCCGTCCCTCCCAGTTTACAGATGTAGTTGCGTGTAGTTAACTTTTTTCTTCGAGATTGGCTTGGTGTGCAGTGTACCGCTTGTGTAGCCTATGCGAAGCGAACAAGCAAGGGATTGAGCTGCGCGAAAGCCGCGTTCGCGCATTCGTTTTCTTGCTGGGTACAAGATCGAAAAGAATGCATTGGATGGATTCCCGGGCATTGAGAAGGAAGGACGCTTTCAGAGGCGAAAGGCCATGGGGAGATACCGTCTTTGATCCATGGATCTCCGATCGGGAAACCGTATCCAAGCTCCGCGGCTAGTCTGCGCTATTTGGACTTTTCAAACTTAGCAAACTGAAACATCTTAGTAGCTAAAGGAAAGGAAATCAACCGAGACCCCGTTAGTAGCGGCGAGCGAGAGCGGATTGGGGTTTGAAGAAAAATAAACACGAAGCTTCGTTTCTCTTTCGAGTATTAGAAATTCCTCAGCAGCAAAGTGTTCACTTATTTTTCGCCAGGTTTCATTCGATTTGTTGTGGATTGGATGATGGAAAAACCAATAAGCCCCTTTCCAGTTTGTCGGTCCCCGATTATAAGTTCTCGTTGACCACGACCTATAGGAACCAGGCTATCTACCGCTTTTAACCCAGTTTGCATAGGCTCGTGCACTGATTTACGTTCTATAATCCCAGGGGCTTTCACTTCGACACGTCTTCGCTCGTGATCGCTTAGAGCCCCTCTTCCATCAATAGGTACTCCCAATGCGTCAACCACACGCCCTAGCATAGCCTTTCCCGCAGGAACATCCACAATAGATCCAGTACGTTTGACAAGATCTCCTTCTTTGATAGAGGTATCACTACCAAAGACAACAATTCTGACATTCTCGTTCTCAAGATTCAATGCTATTCCTTTCACACCGCTGGCAAATTCAACCAATTCCCCAACTTGAATCTCATTCAATCCATAAACATGTGCAATCCCATCTCCAACTGAGACCACTCGACCAATCTCATCCACTTGAAAATTTGTGTAAAAGTTGGTAATTCGACTTTCTAATAGAGTTGTTAAGAAGGGAGTGGATGAGAGAAACTTCTGTCAAGCGTCCCGGCGAAATCTGACCCGATTCTTACTTTACTTCGCCCATTCTATTGTCCTTCTTCCAAATTGTTGGTGTCCTCGCTCCGGATTTTGTTCCCCCGGTTTGAAACCAGTTGGTTCCGTAGTTTGAGAATTCTGCTGATCCCAAGTACTCCATCTCCATCATTGCATATGGGAATATAGAAAGTAAAGAGGAAAAGGCATGACCAGAAGAATTGTGTGATATAAGTGAATTTATCCAGTTGAGGCATGATTTATTGAGACAAAAAAATTACCTCCAGACAGAAAGAGAGTCTTTCCTGCACGGAGTAGTGAATAACTATAGAGAGCTGTGCTTGGTTATTGACCGATGCATGGGAAAAAGATCTCAGATATCATAGGGAGCGTCGCATCTTGCACGCAATCTCATCCTGTCCTAGGTGGCTGAGTGTTGATCTGCATCCGCCCGGAATGGCACTCTGTCGGCCAATTACCGGAAGGTTGCGGACTGCAAACCTGCAGTCTCCAGGTCCTCACGCATTCGAAGGAGCTGACTTAAGGACTCCTCCCCTGTGGCGGTACGAAGATTATCCAGAGCTCTAGCCCCCCGTCCCATCCAATCCCCGCTTGGGTGAAGGCCCGCCATGACCTGACAGATATCGACCTTGACCTCGAATAGGTCTTCGGCTTCAATCCGGGCCATTTGAATCTCATGGGCAGAAGGAGAGGGGAATCTCCCCAAAAGCCTCCGTTGGATGGATTCAACACTGTCCCCCCCCCCCCCCCTATAATCTCATTATTTTGATAGGGGTAGGGTAGAGCAGCTTCCTGCATAACAGGAAGAGCGGGAGGCATAGCTTGTTCCCCCGGAAGCGGTTGATTGACCGCTGAGGTACTACTACTATGCCCGGAACTCGCCGAGTCTTCCAGCATGTCGGAAGTATACGTAAACAAATCCGAAGGGGAAGGTACGGTGTCGGCACTAAAGGCAAGAGGAGTGCCAAAGCAAGATAAAAGACCGAGAGCCATAGGAAAAACCTTGCATGGGGGCAACTTTCGTGTTGGATTAACAAAAAGAATACCGAGTAAGATCAAAGAAACTAGCAGACTGATCAGGAATGAGAGACAAATAGGTGCAAATTCTGACATGACCAAATAAGTGAATTTATCCAGTTGAGGCATGATTGATTGTTTCTCAATGATTCCCTACAGACTCTCTTTCTGTCCGAAGTCTTGAAGGAAAAGAAACGATATGTGGTTGTTGACCAACAAAAAAAATAAATATAGGATTAGAATCGATGACTTAACTAAAGCCCCTTTCCTTTCAAAGAGGAAGATCATGACTCTTTTTTTGATGCACTGACTTACTGACGGAATATCAAAGAGTCGTCCAAGAGCACTTCGTTAGAATTGCATGTGTTAAGCATATAGCCTAACTAGCATGATTGAGCCCTGCAGTGGTAGAACCTGGTGAACCTGGCGTACGACTTTCCTTGCCAATTCTTCTCTTATGATATTTTTTACATGTGTTGTTTGAAACATCGCAGGAATGGCACGCAGAAAAGGAAAAATAGGAATTTGGCTTCGAGCAGAGGTTTCGCAGAGGAGGTGAAACTATTTCTTTCCGCTTGTAGGTTAGGCGAGTTAGTCGATAAGGAGAGGAAATTTAATGAGTTTCCCTTTTGTAAAAAGTATTGGTTGATTTCCCTTCTAAGGGAGAGATTAAAATGGATTGATCCTTCTTTGAGTCCCATGTTGTTCGTTTAGTCTAGACTGCTTTGTATAGCTTAGCTTCTCCTCTGCTTAGCGGCTGTTAGCTTCAGAGGCAAAACCCTTTATTCAAGTAGAGTGTAGAGGTGTAGAGTCAAAGAAAGACATTAAATTTGGTTGGTTTCACAAATCCAATCTTTTACTCTGGTTTTCCCCTCTTGAAGCTCTAGAAGGCCGATGTCAGTCAAGAAAAATGCGACTTTTGAGCCCCTGTTGGCTATCGGGTCCTAAAATAGCGATTCTGCCCACGAGAAAGAAATGCCTTTGAGTTTGAGATAGGATCCTTTGTTGACCATCGACCGGTTTCCCCTTCATCAGAAGATGGTGTAAGCTTCGGTAGTGAAACTGCAAAGTTGCTTTAGACAGGTTGGTTTCAGAGTTGTAGCTTTCCCGAGATAGCTTTGGAGCAACGAAACTTTCTGAATATTCATTCCAGGGCTCCGAGGTCAAGAAAAGACTTTGTTTTCCTCTCTTCGGTTGATTTCAAATACGATCTTTCATATTTGAGAAAAGGAACTGTCTTCCATCATGCATGTGTTAAGCATAACACTACGTTTGTTTACAAATCGGCTAGGCCGGCTAAAAACCCGGGTTTTTAGCATAGTTTAAAGGTCGATTCTCGAAAATGCTTATAGTACGATAATAGTTGAAAAGCTAACCTCCAAAAGAGCTTTTTCGAGCAATTGATGTCAAATTTCCGGGGTTTCGTCACGTCATAAAATAAGTAAATCGTGTTTGCACGAGATTTATATCCAATCAGTAGCCAACTTCGGACCTATGGCGAACCAGTCTCGTACTCTAGGGGGGGGGGGGGTCTAGTCAGAGCAAGTGATCAAGCAAGAATGTTCCTTTATTTGTTTACGCACTTTGTTGACTAGTGAAGTAAGCAAGCTACCTTGGGACTAACGTTTCCACTGGGGTCGCTCATCTTACTCTAGGGTAACACTCTCTATGGAAAGATGAGTAGTTTGTGCTTCACTAGCCAAGTCCATGCGCCTACAGCTCGATCTACTAGCGCTCTCTTTGATCCTTCCAGGTCAAGACCTTCGCTTGTTGACCACTTTTCAATGAGCAGATCTTTCGCTCAATTACGATCCATACTCAAACATATTCGTTCGACGCCTCAACTTCCCTCTGCCACACATCTCTTTCCTTCGCTCTAGACCCACCCCCAAAATAAACCTTCTGCACTTTCCTTTCACACTCTAAGGGTTGAACTATAAAGTCAGAGTTAGGAATGCCATCTAGTCCTGCCTTTCAGATAGCGATCTCCCTACATATTTCTGTTGATTGCTTCTAAGAGTTTCCTTCGTTGATGTTACCTTCGGTAAAGCAATTGCACTTATAGCTAGTGTGATACGGTGGGAGAACTGACTTGAGGTTTTGCGTTTGTATTCGCACTTGTTCGGTTGAGCAAGAGTCGCCACCGACTTTTTATTTTATCCTAAAGGAAAGGTTAAAAAGCACAGGAAAAACCTTTTGAGATGTTTCGTGGGTTCGGGGGGTAGATTATGAAAAGGGAAGGTATTAGCACCCTTTTCATCCATGGTTATCCATGGGCTCTTAGTTACTTGGTTTTAGATCACTTGCCTTTGATTTTCAATTGCTTGAAATGGTGTGTGTGTGTGTGTGTGTTTTGAATTTTTTTTTGAAGAAGATGCCTTGTCTTAGGCAACCATTGTAATGGCTCGTGTTTGAGTGTTTCACAAAGGTGTGTATCTTTTCGAAAAGATGTTTCAAATGTTTTGAGAGTTGGTTTTGAAAGTGGTTGTTTTGAAAGTGTTTGTGGAGTGTGGTTTTGAAAAGTAGGCAAGTGTTTTTGCAAGTTTGATCAAGTATCTAAGAGTTTGTCTACCCCTAACTTTACTCAAAGGTTTTTCTCATGTTTTAACCCTTTTTAACAATTTTTGTTCCATCATTGTATTTGGTGGACAATCTTGCGTTTAGGATGTTTAACGGGACAGGCGCGGGTCATCGTATGGGTCATGAATGCAATGGTGCCAAGTGTCTTTGGCAATTTGCTTGAAGGGACTATGATCATTTTGATATGCAACTTTCGAAAGCGTCATCGAGGGACTATGATCATTTTGATTTGTTTTGTTTTGCCAAAGAAACTCGACGTGCAAGCATGGCCCATTTTGGAAGGCAACAAGCGGGATTACCCTAGGGGTGCAAGTGTGATTGTGTATTGATTTCATGTATTTGTCTTTGTATTAGGTTATCTAGCGTTTGATTTTATGTACATACAAACCCTAGGTCTAACCGTGGTATATTTGAAAGCGATAAATTGCAAGAATTTAAAGTCTACGCTATTACAAATAAGTATCCGAGAATGGGGGTACAATTATTTATAAATGGGGATGAGACTTAGTAGTGTCCAAATATTTACAACCAAATCGAATTGCGATCCAAAATGTAATATGTATCAATGTATAGCAATGTGTAAGAATAAAGCAAATGTGAATGTGTCAATGTATAAAAATAATCAAATGTGTATTGTAAATGTGTATGTGCATGTAATTATTTATAAGGTTGAGAAATATTAAGTTAATGAGAAAATTAAGTATTGTCTATTTATTTTGTTTTGTATTTTTGTTAATATGTACAAATCAAAACAAGTTTTAATAAAATAAAAGAAAAAGTATTTTAAGTAATTCTAATTTTTATGTATTTATGTACTACATATTAATGTATTTTTTTATGTATAAAAATTTTAATTAAAAGAAAAAAAGTTTCAGATTTAAGAAAAATTAATGTTTGTATATTTTCTAAAATGTAACAATTAATAATATTTTGTAAAAAAAGGTGTTATTTTATTTAACAAAACAAAAAAAGTATTATATTAGTTTAAACTAAAAAATAAAATGATAAGTAAAGAAATGTTAGTTTAAGAGTGTTAAAAAAAAGAAAGAATAGATTGAATGGCCTGAAAAGGTTTTGGCCCAAACTAAAAAACAAGTGAATCAGAAGTAAAAAATGGAAATGGGGGTGCGTCCAGATAAAACAATGGGCTTAAGGCAGCTGAAAGGGGCAAGACCCATTGTGGTTTTGATAGCATTTTCGTTTAGGGTTTTGGTATTTCGTTCATTTGGGACTAGGGTTTCAGATTGAGGCGCGTCGTTCTCTTCGTTTCCATCCTCTTCATCTTCTTCGCCAAGCGCCTGAATAAATGTCCTTTGCCCAAGGCCACCAGCGCCACCATCTATCCTCCTCCTCACGTTCACTCAAACGGCGGTAAAAAAGAAGGTACGACTTTTATCTCAACGCGTTAGGGGTCTTGGATTTTTAACCTTGCATGCTCTTATCTGTTCTGATTCTTGGATTTTGTTATGTGTTTGTACGAGGTATTCAAAGAAGGGGAAAAAGAAGTTTTATACCTTTGCTGGCTCGTTGCTTGAAGAGGAGGAGAGATGGAGAAGGAGGCATTGTGGGCGGCCAAGGGTGGAGGACGCCTGATGTTGAGCTCGCTTGCTTTGTTGGAGAACCTGGTACCCTGTTTCACCCTTTTTTAGGTTTCGTGATGAACAACTGAAAACCTTTTGTATAATTTCTTTTCCTCTTCTGTCCACTTTGCCTCTGAGTGATTATGATGATATTCTGAATCTTTGATATGCTGGCTCTTTTGCTTCTGTGCGCTTGAGTTGCCTTTTCCTCTTCTTCTTGTTGGCTCAGTTGCCTTGTATGTTTGCAAACTTGTATGCTTGATATGCTGATTTATGATATGTTTCTGAGTATGCTTGTTGGTGATTTTGAGTATGGTTGCCCTGAAATGCTTTGATGATTTTGGTAGCCCAATGATGAAAATTTTCTGAGGGCTTGAGTGCTTCAGTTGTTTGCAGGCTTGGTACTGATTTAGGCTTTGAAATTACAGGCCTTGGCTTTAGTTTGAGGCTTGTTTTGATGTTCGTGTTCTTGAAGGGGCTTGGCCTTTGACAGGTTGGGTTAGTTTAGGACAGGTGAAGGTTTTGAATGATTTTGGCTTGGGCTTGAAGCTTGATGCTTCAAGTTTGCCTGAAGCAGGTTAAATGCAGGTTTTTATGTTTGATGGTTTGTGGTGAGCCTGCAGGTTTAGGCTTTGTGTTGAAACAAGTTTGGGCAGGATGCAAACTTGTCTAGTTTAAGGCTTGACAATTTGAGGTTTGGTTGTTTGATGTTCTGGTTTGACAAGTTATTTGGTATAGCTTTTTTGGGTTGGTTGAAAGCTTTACAGGTTGAAAGGCTTCAGGCAGGTTTTTGCTTGAGGCTTGGAGGCTTGATGGTTCTTGGCCTTTGTAAGGTTTGGAGCTTAGCTTTCAATGTTACAGTTTTGAGAGTTTTTATCTTTTTGATATCTCTGCCCCCTATACTGTGTTGATAACAATTTTGTTTTATATCTTTCTTTCTTCAAGTCTAAAACCTGTAAGCCCTTTCTT